GAGCCCAGCAGTTTGAGGTTGCTGTGAGCTAGGCTGATGCCACGGCACTCTAGCCCGGGCAACACAGTGAGACTTTGTCTCAAAAAAAAAAAAAAAAAAGTCAACTCCTCTTCAGCAAAGCCATTGTAACCTGAGGCAAGTATAGACACAGCCAGCATGTCAAATATCAAGTTAATGAGACTCACCCTGCAACGCTGCCTCTCGAACTGTCACCATCTGAATGTCAGCTGTGTCATCTGTGTTGCCAGGATATGGTTCCACAAAGCCATACATATGAATCAGTTGCCAATTAGCCATTTGCCCATAAGTGTTGAAAATCTCATGGCCTTTAGGAATGGGCTGAGTGGCCACCATCCGAAGATAATTCTGGGGTAAAAGGGAGAAGCTGGGGCCATGCCTTTCCCAGGCCAGTCCCATAAAGATTATTTCCCTCTTAGGAAGAGCCTCCTGCAGGTGGTTCAGCCATAAGACTGATGATATATTTACCAACGTTCTACCTTTTAGTTCTGGTTAGACTCTATACTGTAGAATAAAGGGGGTGAGGCCAACATAAGGTCAGCTTCATGTTTTATTAGGTGAATCTGTACAGTTATCTTCACTACTTAAAAAGTTGCTAGCTTTTAAAAATGAAATAAAACCCAGACCAAAGTAGGAAAGGTAAATGGTGGCAAAGTTTAAGAAATAGCCATATTCACTAATTTTTAATATTATAAACACAGCCCTGGCGTCATCTTAGACCTGTGAACACTCTCCCCATATCCGCCTCCGCCCCCACCCCACAGCGCACCCCCATCCGAGACTACAGGTGGTCCAGGGTGCTCTCCACAGCGCCTGCACACACAGTCTGGGCTTCCTGCACGGAGTGCGGGTCCTGGGGGGCGCGTACACGGCTATGCAGACCACCCAGTCTCTAGCACCAAATCAATGATGGTAGTATATAGTTTAACAGGGTTAACTACCACAACTTTGTTAAAATATTTTGTGTTCAAACGATTTTGCTATAATATGAAGTACATACAGGAGGAGCTAATTGACCTCAGATTTTTAGCATTAGACTAATGACAAGGTTTCAATCAAATGCTCAATCAGTGCATGTAAGAATAAGAACTGGGCGGGATCCACTCACTGCAGAGTATTCTAGATTGGCATTGTGACTGGCTAAGTGGTTTAATATGTCTGCAGCAGGCACCATCAAAGGGGAGTTTGGCTCCTTTTCATCCTCCTCTTCCTCCAGTGGTTCCTGAAAGCTGCCATAGAGAGAACTTGGCTAAGGCCCAGGTGAGGGACTGGAAGTGGAATTCACTGTTCTTCCCCTCTTGTCCCTCAGTAGGGTTCTACAGAAAAGGGCTCCGTTCTCCATGGCTCTACTCACTGACCTATAGGCCATTACAAGGGCCACGAGCTGCTGGTAGAGTTCTAGGGAGCGAACCCTGGGGCTGAAGAGATCGGGGTGGGCTTCCATGAAGGGTAGCACGATGGAGTAGTACTCGCTGCGGATGTTGGCCAAATCCTTCTCCACGGCCTCGGGTACACCTGTGCCCTGCAGCAAGCGTCGGCGCTCCTCCTCTGGCCTGCAGGAACACCCCCCACCCAGGTTCCCCTGAACCTACTGGGACTAGTGCTTGCAGGCTCTGTCTCCAGGGCAGGGGGGTTGGAGCAGGCTACGGTGCAGGCACTTCTCAACCCCTCCCACAGCTCTCACCAGAACATAGGGTGCTCCAAGCGGCCCAGCTCGGGCCACAGCGCAAAATAGGGTCTCCAGGGTGAGGCTGGGGCCTGCAGCTCGTGCAGCAGCGCCAGCAGCAGCGGCACCCACCCTGACTGGCTCTGCAGCACGCCTCGCTCTGAGAAAGACACGAGAGTAAGAGCCCCGGCGCGGCCCTACCAGCCCGCCTCAGTGCCCCCGTCCGCCGGCGTGCCCACCTCGCTCCAGCAGGCTGCCGATTGAGCAGGTGTGCTGCGACAGGAGCGCAGCCCGTGGCACCGCGAACAGCAGCTCCCCAGGCTGCAAGCTCTCCTGGGCTACCATGCCGTAGCCGGCCACTGTACCCTGCCGGCTTACCGCCACCTGAGAAGGAGGGGCTGGTCAGAGTAGCCCTGCGTCCCCGCCGCGCCGCCTCCGCCCCCTCACTCACCCCCCTCACTCACCCCCCTCACTCACCTTGGGACTCAGCTCCAGCCCCACCCGCCGGCACCAGCTCAGAAAGCCAACCACCGGGTCCGCGTCACCGCCGCCCACGGGCCCGGCTACCTGAGATAATGGAGAGTAGTGACGAAGCCCCGCCCCGGAAACCCGCGGGACGGGAAGAGATGGCGGCGCATGCGCGCGGAAAGGCTCTGGGTGGGGGAGGGGACGCGCGGAGAGGGACGCGGGACCCGCGGGAGGGACCGGAGGGGGCGCACGCGGGACGACACTCGGGGGTTAGAGGTGAGGCGCTGTGGAAAAGGGTGAGCCCCGCGCCGGCCGCCCGCCACTCACCCGCGGGCGCTTCGCCTGGGTAGCCATGGTCTGAGCGCGCACGCCCTGCCGGTCAGCGGGCCGCGCGGACACTTCCGGCGCCCCTGGCTCCGCCTCCGGGGCAGGACTCTGGCGTGCCCCGCCCCGGTACCGGAGCCACGTGGTGTCGGTTTCGGAGTCGAGATTTGCGTCAGGTGAGAGTCCTCCTACTGAAAATATCCTTGAGCTGGGTGTCTCCAGCTGTACTCGCGCGTCCGAGTGCAGGAACGCGGGGTCTCGCGCCGCCTGGAGCCGGGTTCTCAGCCAGGCTCAACCCTCCCCATTGGTCTGTCCCCGAGAGCTGAGGCTTCTTGGAGTAGAAAGAAGTATGGGTGCAAGAATAAAATACGGCTTCTGGATCGGAAGCCGAGGGTCTAGCGGCTGGCCGGTGGTAAGTGCACCCATCTGGGCGGCCAGCGGCCTTCCTGATCTCGACCCCTTGTTACCGATGGTCATTGAACCGCTTTATTGTTATTTGTTCAGTTAGAGCAGTTAGCGTGTGTTTGTGTGTTTTGGAGTGGCATGGCCAGGAGGGCTCCCAGATCTAGAAAAGACCTTCCGCCCTCATTTGCTAGTACATCCCCGTTTTTCATCTACTGCATAGCACGTGGCGGGTTTTATTTTTATTTACTTGGTTTATTAGCTGACATAGCAGGGACTCAGTATCTATTTGTTGGGTAAATGAATAAACTGAAACAAATGGTGGTTAAACATGGGGAAGGAGCATGCTTGTTATATAAGAAGACGAAGCAGTGTATATAGAGGCCACAGGTATGGGTTTTGAAGCCAAGCAACGGTGGAGTTCTCTCTCAGCTTGGCCTCTTGCTAGGGCAAACCCTTTATCCTGAAACTCAGTTTCTTCCGCTGTGAAACTGAGGTTAATACCTACCCCACAGAATTAATGCAAGGATTGGCAAAATAATGTTTGTGACAAGCACTGGAAATAGAGATGGGTTGGAGACAGTTCCTTGGCCTCACCTGGCACCCTCAACCCCAGTGCAACCGAGGAAGCACCAGCAGACTCCATCTAAATGTGTATTCCAAAGCTTCCCAGGATGGGTATGGCTGCACCACACTGCGTTCCTCTTAGGTTCTTTATTAGTTTTTCGGCACAGTTAACTCTTTCTACATTGACAAGGATTTTTGTTTTACATTTTGTCATCTCAGAGTCTCATGACATCAGCCACCAGAATACACAAAATTAGGCTCTTCACTTTGTACAGAGAGGAAAATAATAAACTCCATTAAAAGTTCACCTTGACCAAAGAAGAGACAACCTCCGATGGAAAACCACACGCAGGAGGACCCAATATACATATATATAATGTATAGATATTTATAGCTATCTCATCTGGAAACACAGCAAAAAAAAAAAAAAATCCAAGATTCTCAGTACTATCTACAGTAAGAGGGATTAATTCTACCAGCTTTCAAAAAGTCACATTCAGTATTCAAAGGAAGCACATGAGTGACTAGAACTGGGGACGGACTAACACCCACCAGGCCCTAGAGCAGTCTAGTAATGGCTCAAGATTACAGTAGGGAAATGATGTGTGCAGAGGAAATATGGATATAGGTATCCCCTCAGCCTCAGAACACCCCCACACAACCCTCCCCTCCACAGCCCTTCATTTTCTCATCCTCTCCCCTCTCTGTTTTGAGATTTGTGACCCTCAATTTAGGCTCCAAGACAAATGGGTCTGGTTTCTGGGCCTGGAAATTCTACAGGGTAAGGCGGGTGGGAAGTATACGGCACAGTCTTGGGCTTCAGGTGGCAGGAGGGGTCTGGGGTGTTTGGGGAGACTTTCTCCTCTACCTGGCCTTTGTTCATGTCAGAAACCTTCGGCCTCCACCCCAGGTCCCAGCAAGCCCCAGCCCGTGCCCACTCCAGCGGGCTGAGATGGGGACGTGGGACTGTGGAAGCCTCACTGCCTTGGACCAGTTCTCTCCAGGTAAGCTCGCTCTTCCTTAGTGATGCCTACAGGAAACGCTGCATAGCTTGACCAGAGCTCTGCCTAGAAATACCAAGCTGCTGCTGATTGGGTTGTCTTCTGGGGCACCTGGGGGCAAAAGAGGCGCTATAGGATCTCTCAGCTGACCCTGCCGGCTCCTAAAGACAGTCACTATGAAAGTCTCGGGGGTGCACACAACACACACAGCTATCCCAGCCTTTGCCCTCACCCCCAGTCAGGTCACTGTGGAGACAGGACCAGGTGACTGCCTCAGGGAGAAGTGGCTCAGAAATGGGACAGGGCCAGGTGATGGCAGAGTGTGTGGGTTGGAAGGGACAGTCTGTGGGGTTCCTGCCCTCACGGCTCTCCATGTTTTGTCTTCTTTGGGCAGAGAAACCCCCTCAGCCCCTGCCTGCCTGGCCCTACAGCACCAGCCAGGCCCAGAGAGCACCAGGAAAATGGCTGCCTGGTCGGAGTGCCCCCTTGTGGCTATTGTCCAGATGATTGTCACATGTGCTACAAGACAGAAACAGGTGTGCTTGGTAGAGGGTGGGGGAAGGGGCCTCACAATGCTCCCTGCTGCTGTCTCCTAGTTCCCACCCCAGTGCCTGAGCTGGCCCCCAGCACCCACCCGCTCAAAGCCCCCTCCCATCTTCAAACCTGCCTGCCCAAGGGCTCATCCCACACTCACTCTTTGACCCAGGAATGAGCCTGGACCCTTCCCTGTAGCCCTGCCTGCCTGTGCCACAGGGAGTTGGGTGGCAGGGGTCCAAGTCAGCTGAGCTAACAGGCTGCGATGGGGGTGGGGAGTGAGCCCTTCCAACCATCCGGAGACTGTTCCACTGCAGCATGTGTGATGGACCCCTGACTTTTTCATACAAAAGAGAAGTAACCCCATGTCCTCCCCTTTGCCCTCACAAAAATAAACTAAAGGGAAAATGAGCCGGCGCAAGGATGGCAGTGGGACCTCGATGCAAGCGGGCAAGTGGGCGTCTTCGGTGGGACCAGAGGCTTCAACAGGACACCTCCATGGTGTGGTTGACTTGGCCCAGCCCCTCACTGCTCTCCGAGTGGGTGCAGGCCTGCGGGCGGCTGCCATCTACCGAGCTGGCGCTGGTGAGGGACGCGGTACGGGAGCGTGCCAGACGGGTCATGCTGGCTGAGGGCACTGTGGACAGAGACAGGACAGGGTGAGGACCAGCGGGCAGGGCCAGGCACCTGCTGGCGGGAATAGGATAATGCAAGCAAAGCGGCCAGCGAACCATTCTTCCAACGGCACAGAGAGGTCCCTCCCAAGCCAGGGTGCCAGGGTTGGCTCTGTCTGGCCTGGGGCATGCAGTGCCAGCAATAGCGGGTGAGCCCAGGGCTGGCCACAGGGCCCTCTCTCAACAGCTGACCAGACCCCCCTGAGCTGGAACAGGGATGTGCTGGATTTCCAACTGTGCCTCCCTCAAGAGGAGTACGAGTCGGGGAGAACGGTTGCTTCTGTGAAGGACAACAGATGATGGTGGCCTCACTGCCCTAAATTCAGGGTTTCACAAGCGAGACTTGCGGGGAGAAAACTACCCTCCTGAACTCAGCTGGCCACCTGGCTGGCTCTGACAGGGCTGGGCTTGGGCTCCACCTCTGAGGAGGCTCTGGTTCCAGCCCCCAGAGCTCTGGAAGCCACGCGGCCTGCAGCAACCTAGAAGCAAGACTGCTCTACAACCCAGCCAACCAGGAGGCCAGGATCTGTGGAAGAGCAAGAGTCTTTGGGGATTTTGAGTTAATAGGACACAGGAAGGTTCCAAACCACAGCAAGATGCGGCCTGGCTGCAGCGCTGCACAGAGGAAGGAGCGAGGAGGGGAAGTTGGGGCCATGCATTGGGGGGGGGGCTGCGGGGCTACCTGCGCCTCCACTCAGCCTTCGGTCCTTCAAGTACGGAACTAAGAGAGAAGACAGAGCCAGGGAGGCCGGGGCATCAAGACAGGCCAGAGAGGAGACAAAAGGACAGGCACAGAGAGGGCCGGGGCAGGGCCAGAGCCCCAGAGAGCCCACACCTGCCCCGCCACCCCCCCACCCCCAGTAGCAGCCCCTGGAAGGAACCACAGCATGGACTGATCTGTCTGGCCTGAGGGAGCCCTGACGGCAGGTGGGGGTACTCCTCACCCCAATTCTCCAGCCTAGACTGTGGGCACAGCCTTATAGTGCCAGCGCCTTTGCCATCTGCCGGGCCTCAGTCTCCCCATGTGTGGAACGGGGGAGGCCCACACGTCCCTCCCTACTCTCGGGCTGCCGGGTGGTATGTCTCCTGAGGCCCCTGCGAACACGTCCCAGCACCTGACGGGCGGTGCTCATGCAGTCACTTCACAAACGTTCACCGCCCGTGCCAGGGCCTGGCGTTGGTGCTCCAGCTGTGCCTCCCTGCTGGCCTGGGCCTCTCTGCCCTATTTGTCCACGGGAGCTGGCGGGAATTCTATTCCTGGGTGGGCTGCCAGCCTTCCCCAGAGGCCCACCCCTCGGAGAGGAAGTTTGCTCCCTGGCAGGGGAGCTGGGGCGGCAGGTAGGTGTGTGCTGGGGGAAGAGGGGGAAGGGGTTGAGCCAGCAGGGTCCTCTGCGTGTGGTGGGTGTGAAGCCCACCAGCTCAGGGTCTGGAGATGTGCCACCTCACGCTCGGCTCCTTCAGCTCTGACACCCAGGTGGTCCCACTCGCCTTCCCTGGTCCCCAGACTCCAGGTCCACTCCTGTGATGCCTCTGGGTACGTCCACCACTTGTGGCAAAGGGCCTTCTCAGGTGTGTGGGCCCAGCTGTGACCCCTGGCCCAGCAGGGGGTGGGTGGTGTGTGTGACTCACCTTCAGGCTTCCCTGGCAGGCCCCAGCCCCTGGACCCCCAGGACTGGGGAAGAGCCTCCTTCCCCCAATAGCCCCGGCACTGCCATCAGAACACCCCAAAGCCTCCCCAAGGGCACAGGAGAGCTGGGCACAGCCTGGGATGCTCAACTTACAACTCAGGTGGCGTTGGTGTGTGGCCCAGCATCCAGGCCCAGACAACACAGAGCGCAGATGCCACAGGCTCCTTGGCACCGCCTGACACGTGTCAGGCCCACCAGTATGAACCCCTCCCACTGCCCCCCACCAGTCTCTGGGGCGGGTGGGTGGAGGTGTACTACTCACTGTAGCCCATGCCTTGCAGGAAGTATTTGAAGGCTTCGGTCAGCTTCCCTGGCTGCAGGAGGGCAGGACAGGCACATGATTTGATTGGCTGCCTGAGATTGGCTTCCCCCAGCCCCCGCCCCCAGGCTAGATAACATAAGGGACACAGGGCCAAGAGTCTCACCTGTGTGACCTGGGGAAGCCCCCCAGAATCCGCCATCTGCAAGGGAGAAAGTGTGGTGAGCTGAGTGAGGCCCCCCAAACTGGCACAGGCCCCCACCCTGGCTGGGACCCCAGGCCCCCAAGGCTGGGCCTGTGCCAGGCAGCCCGTCCGGGGCTGGGAGGAAGGCCTCACCTTCAGGAAGGTGGTGGTGGTTGGGTCCAGTTTGGAGTTGCACTCGACCTGGGGACAAGGAGCCAGCTTCAGCAACACCCCCAGCCTCCATCGCTAAGGCAGGTTCTATGCCCAGAGCTGTGGAGGAGGGTGCAAGGGGGCAGAGGGACAGCCAGCACCTTGGACAGGGGTGTGGCCGGCCCTCCCAGACTTTATTCTCCCAGGGCTTCCCAAGCCCCTGGAGCTCAGTAGCCCCCTGAGAGGCCTAAGACCCTTGGACCCCACTCCCAACTACTTATAGGGCAGGAATGGGGCAGGGGCTGGGCAGGCCACCCTGGTGGGACTGGTCCAGAAAGCCCCAGTGGCCTTAGCAGTCAGACAGTGAAGTGACTGGTGCCAAAGGTCCACTGGAGACTCTGAGGCTGCTGCCTGGGTCCAGGGCTGGCACGGCCCACTCCCTGCTCTTCCAAGCCCTCTGTGTGGGCACGGGAAGGCCTGGCATCTTCCAGGCACACTGGGTGCTGCTCCAGGCAGCTCTGTACTGTTGGGGCACCCCACCCCCAGGCCACCTGCTCCCAGAGTTCCCACAGGAGAGGTGACATAGGTCCTCCCAAACCTAACTGGTCCAAGTGGTGGTGAGAGGGGGACCATGCTGTTGTGCACGTGAATTATAACGAGTCAATCAAATTTTAGAGAGAAGAGAGATCTTAGGCTGTGGGTGGGCCTGAGACCCAAGCGGGGGCTGCATTGCTGGGGAGGGAAGATGGGGCCGGCAGGTGGCCGCAGCCCGTCCCATCTGCAGGCCTTGCTCGCTGGTGATGCCTGGGAAGGTGGGGAAGTGGATGAGAAGGCCACCAGGCTGGCCTGAGGCTAACCTGGGCTGGGTTAAGAACTGGCCGGGGTGGCCAGGACCCAGCGAGCCCCCCACTCCCACCCCCATCAGCACACAGCCCTGCACTCACCACCCCATCCTCAGCGGGCGCGTTATCCCCGACCACCAGCATCACGGGGCAGCTGCAGACACAGAAGAAAAGGGCTGTCTGGCCGGGGCAGGGGACAGAGGCCGGGGCAGGCTGGAAGGCCAGGGGCACTCACCGGAGCGTCTTGGCATTGGGCACCGTTCCAGGCCGGTTAATGTCCAGGTCTCTGCGGCTGCAGGGCAGAGGCAGAGGTGGGCATCCCAGGACTGGATGAGGAGGGTCCTCAAGCCCTTCTCCCTAGGTGTGGCCCTGCTCTGCATAGATAGGGGCTAAGGGGTGCCCCTCATGCGTGACTTCTTTCTGGACCCCCAAATCATGCCAGGTAGGCTCTCAAATTCTGCTTCCCACCCAGCTCAGAGCCATATGCACCACCTGTGTCGTGGGCCTTTCTGCTACTGGCTGGCTTGAACCATATGCGATAGCAGGGCCTGGGTCTCTTTTTTTTTTTTTTTTTGAGACAGAGTCTCACTGTGTTGCCCGGGCTAGAGTGCCATGGTGTCAGCCTATGGGTCTCTTATTTTCTATTGTTTTTCTAGCACTGTGCACACAGCGGGTGCTTAATAAATATTTGTAGGAAAAAGAGAAGGGAGGGCAGGTGAGTGAGTGGCCTGGCTACCCCGCTGCGCTCCAAGGAGCACAGCTTGCAAACCACGGGCCCATCCAGCCTCCTCCCCATTTCACAGATGGCATCGCCAAGGCTCAGCTGTTGGGGTCAGGGATGTCACTAACCTCCCTCTGCGCTCCCGGCCAGCAGTGCACCAGGGGAGGAGGAGAAGTGGAAGAGCCCAAGGACCAGAGTCCAAAGCCCTGCTCCCCCTCAGTCCCTCTAAGGGGTGTGACTCTGGGCAGGAAGCAACCCCCTCCAAGGCTCAGTAACCTGCTCATCTACAAGCTGGGGCGAGTGTTGCCTGCCCTGCCTCCTTCTGCGGGCGGCTGTGGGAGGGGATCCCCAACTGGGCTGCGCTGGCAGTGCCCGCCCACACCTGTTGTACATGTTCCAGAAGAGCTGCAGGTTGGCCTGGTTCACCACGTTCCCGATCTGCTGCCGGTAGCTCTGCACCAGCTCCGTGTTGTTCACCAGCTCCTCCTGGGCCCAGGGGACGGGTGGGGGCATGGACGGGAGCGGGCGACAGAGGGATGCAGGCTGAGTGGGCTTCCAGATGTCACCGCCAGAGCAGCCCTTGCCCCACTCCGAGCAGGGCGGGGTGGGACGGTGGGAGAGGGCAGAGGGTGAGGCCTCCCACCCCCGTCTTTCAGCTGCTGCAGCATATTGGATGACAGCACAATACGGAGACAGGACATGTGACCTGCCCACCTCCTCCTGGTGGAGGGGGGGGGGGGGCAGAAGCCCAGGGTGCCCTGAGAGTGGGCAGAGCTAGGCCCTTCGGCGGCTGCCCTAGGCTCTGAGCCGTCTCTGGCCCTGAGTCCCCTGCTCCAGAGGGGGGCCCGGGTCTGAAGCCCCACCCCCTTACCTGGCTGAAGAGGTGGGAGAGCACCGTGTCCGGTAGAGTGCTAGTCAGGCCGGAGAGCTGCGGGCGGGGGAAGCCAGCGTGAGTGCCGCCCCTCGCCGCCACAGCCCACCCCAGGCACACCCTGCTCACCTTGGTGGCAGCCCAGTCGATCCAGCCCTTGCCGTTGGGGTCAATGTTCATCAGCACCAGCCCCTCCACCAGGTCGGGGAAGATGAGCTGCGGTGAAAGGGGACACAGGGATGGGCAAGGCTGGGGTGGTGGTGCAGGGAGCCCCACTCTTCCTACCTAGAAGATGGGCTGTAAAACTCTGGCCCTGCCTTTCTCACGGGTGGCTGCAGGTGGAAACGCTGATGAACCAACTGGCTACAGCTGGACCGCGTGTGCACTGCCCCTCCCACGTGCCTCTGCTTGCCCTCCCCACGCCCCAAACCTTTAACAGCCCTTGGATTTATTTAGAATCTGTATCACTGTTTTCCATCTCTTTTAATATATTTTTGAAGATGGTGCAGTTGCAAAACTGAGCGTTAAACATCTTAAAATCTTAAACATGTTATTTCTTTGCTTTTATAGAAAACGAAGCCCTCATGGTGTAAATTAAGAAATGGACCTTTTCAAAGGCTGTTTTGTGTTAGAGACTGTAAAAAAGATCTGCATTTTCCATTTGTTTGTGTTTGTCCATGTCTAGAGAAAAATGGCAACATGCACAGAGTTCTATAGCCACGCAAGTCTGTCTGGGATAGCAGGAACAGTCTGCAGGTAAAGTGGTTAAGTGCAAATTGAAACTGGACTTGAAAATTCTTGGTTGTTTCTTTTGAAGAAATGTAAAGATGAAAAGCTGGGGACTCTTACCTACCCAACATGATGTTTTAAAAATGTGACTTCTTTAAACCTCACAACCTTTATGTAAATGTAATTTTTTGTTAAAAAAAGTTATTCATTTTAAAAATATTTTTTTAATATAGAGATGAGGTCTTGCTGTGTTGCCCAGGCTGGTCTCAAACTCCTGGCCTCAAGTGATCGTCCCACCTCAGCCTCCCAAAGTGCTGGGATTAAAGGTGTGAGCCACCACCCTCTCAGCCATTTGTGTTTAAATACCACCTTACTTAGTAAGGGACAATCCTTATTTAGTGGCTAGAGCAGTTGTAGTTTATTGCCAATAGAAATTTTGGCTTTTGATAATAGTTTTAAGCAAATTATTGTTTATAGTCTTTTGAGAAATATATGGAGAAAGGAACTCTGTTTTTGAAAAGTTAATTTCCCTGGAGAAAAAAAGAAATGAGGGGTTTCTACATAAGAAGGTGGGGGGAGGGGAAAGAAGAGCAGGGAAAGTGCCTGGTGGCCGAAGAGTTGTCCCTGGAGGACACCTGCCCTGCCACGGTGTTGGGGTCATGGGCGGGGGTGGGGGCACTCACTGCAAACTTGGCCAGCACGTAGGCTCCAGCTCCCACTCCGATGCCAATCACGTACTTGAACCTGGTGCAAAGCAGGCTGGTCACTCTCTAGGGCTGGGGGTGCCACTTCCCATAAATGCCATTGGGAGCAGGCCCCACCCACAGCCAGGCGGCTCTGCAGTGGCAGCGGGCACTCCCTGCCCCCCAGCACAGAGGCAGGGGCTGGGTGGGGACTCACCCAAAATGCTGCACCACGCTGGGGAGCATAGCAGCCAGTTGCTCCATGGAGGGGAACTGGTACCTGCAGACAAGAGCAGGAGGTCAGGGACCAGATGCAGCCTGGGGTGCGGAGCTGGGGACAGGTGGAGGGGGCTCTGGGGTACCTACCCCTGAGGAAACTGCGACGCCCCCACCTGCTGTCCAGGGGCGTCCACGTGGCACACCACAAAGTGCTTGGTGATCTCCTGCATGTCCTCGAAGTTGAAGAAGGTGTTGAAGCACAGCTTGTCTGCAAAGACACACCTCAGCTGTGGCTGCGCAGAGGGGTAGGGGGAGTGGAAGGGAGGCCAGTGGGCCCTGAGAAGGGGGGCCAGGCAGTGGCGACCAGCCTCAGGGCCCAGTGGGGAAACTGAGGCCCGGATGACCAAGGCTAGAGAGCTAAGTGTGAGTGGAATCTACAGGGTGCTGTGGCGAGGGAGGGGAAGCCTGGCTGCTCTGGCAGACTGGAGGCAGGGAGGCTGAAGGAGGCTGGGCTGCACTTACGGTTGAGGCCCACGTCATGGTAGGTGAGGATGGCCGGGCGGTTCCCCTTGGGGGAGCCCCGGATCACCACGTGCAGAAGGCCGTAAGGCGTCTCGATGTCGTGTTCCTGGTGGGGAGAGACAGCGCTGCTCGCTCTGGGCAGCCCCCACTCCTGGCTCTTCTGGGGAATAAGGCAGTGGGGCCCCCTCCCTCACTTCGGGTGTCATTCTCATCACTCCAGTCAGCCCCCAGAGGACAGGCCAGATGGAGCACCCCTTCTCAGGGGTGCTAAGCACAAAGACAGCATGACCTGGTCTGTGTGGGAAAGTTCTGGTCCTCTCTGCAAACCAGCCAGTGGGTTGTAACCAGCCCAGCCTAGCCCAGACCAGGCCCTGCACTCTGCCCTCCAGGGTCCAGCAAGGCTGGTTTTCTCCATCTTGCGGCTGCCCCTCCTGCACAGCTCTGCCACCCCTGTCGAGACCCTCCCCCACTCAGAACCCTCAGGGGCTTCCTGCTCCTGAAGGGGACCAGCCTCAACAGCCTGCCCCTGCACCGGCTCCCACCCACAGGCTCACGCTGACACGATCCTTCCACCTTGAATGCCCATCCCTGTGATCCAAGCAACCCAAGGCCCCCCTTCAGGCAGGGCCAGGTTGGACTCCTACATCCCCTGAAAGGCCTTGTGCAGTGCCTGCTCTGGGATCCCTTGGAGTTCACGCCCTTGGTTTTGCTGCTCAGGGTCGTTAGCTCCTCAGGAAGACGTGCTCTGCCGCTCACTGTGGCACTCAGAGCAGGGCCCGTCCCTTCTCTGGCCTTAGCCTCTTCATCCCGAGCCATTTCTTAGGGACTTTGTGAGAACCAAGTAAGTTGGTGTCTGCGGAGTGTTAAGCGCTTGGAGGTGGCCCCAGAAAGGGGGCTGTTGTGCTTGGGCACCCTTGAGCCTTGGGGAGATGCCCTGCTCGCTGGTCCCTTTGCAAACCGGTCACTCTTGGCCACTCACTCGGGCAAACTTCAAGAGGGTCTGAATGAACAGCCCTGCCCTGCACCGTGGGGAGCCCTGGGAGCTGCGGCGGGTGGCCCAGTGAGTGGGAGGTGGGGCTGGGGTCAGGACAGGAAGTAAACAGCAGGGGCTGAGCACCTACTGTGTGCCGGGCTTCCTGCATGTTTGTTACCCAAGGGAGAAGGAACCCCATCCCCTGTTTTGTAGACAGGGACACTTAGGTTCAGAAAGAACCTAAGTTCCTGCCTCCAACAGGGAAGGGGAGACTTAGGCGGCAGGAGACAGCATCTCAGGCACTGGCCTTATTAGCTCTGGTCTCAGAGGACCACCGTCCGGGCCTGTGTCTCCAGTGGGGAGTCACAAGGCGGTGCCAACCTGGTGACCAAAGGCCGCACCCTGGGAGCTACACTTCTGCTTTAAGGCCTGTTTTTTGCTCTGCTGTCTTCTAGGCAGGCCAAGGGCCACCACAGCCTCCCACATCCCAGGCCTGTCCTCCCTCAGGGCCATCAGTCAAGGCACGCTTCCCGCTCACTGACCACTGACTACACAGTTCACGTATCTTCTTATTTACTCCTCACGTGGACCTAAGCCAGAGAGGAGGAGACAGGCCGGGAAAGGAGAAATGACTTGCCCAAGGTCAAGCCCAGAGTGGGCAGGGTGGGCCTTGCCGGGTGTCAGTCTCAGGGGCTAGGTTGTGCGCTGAAGGCTGCGTGTCCTCAGAAGAAGATCATGATGCACCCAGTGGACCCCCTGAGCAGGTAGCCCGGCTACAGCTGCCTGTGGTTCTCTCTGCTCCGGAGGGCGGGGTTGGGGGCAGGAGGGACTCACGCAGGAAAGAGCTGCAATGCGCATAAAGGACAGTTCTCCAATGGGGTCAGGTCGCCCTGCTGCAGACAGAAGTCAGAGCCCAGGGTCCACCTAACCAGCCCAGATCTCCACCGCCCTCGGCTGTCTGTGAGGAGTGTCTGCCCTCCACTACCAAGCAGGCGCCCTCTGTCCCCTCCCAGCCCTGGTGTGGCTGCCTCCATCCCCATCCCCAGATGGCACAGGGCTGAGTGCCCTGCTAAGGCCAGTTTGCCTGTCCCATGCAGCCTGGTGACCTTCGCTGAACCTTCCCAGTGACCTCCCTTGTGCCCCTCTGACGGTCCGCGGGGAGCTCCGACTTGGTTCAGCCTGATAGAAGCCCCTTGTCCCCAACCCCCAGGGTGCTGCACAAAGGGGGGGCTCCCCGAGGGCCAAGGGCCGCTCTGAGCCCCTCAAGCCCCAGGGCTGAGCACTCCCATTGGCTCCTGGTGACGTCAGAGCCGGCCCGCCTCTAGGTGGGCGCCGGGGGAGGCACTGCGGCAGCAGGGGAGGGGGCCCTGACGTCCCCTCTCAGCCCATCCGCTCCCTCGCCTGTGACCTTGAGCACTGGGGGTGGGGGGAGGGGGAAGGGGAGACTCTTCAAGCTGGACTTTGGTGCCTGTGCGAGGGGGGTTGGGGGTGGGTGTGATTGCTTCTGTCAACCGCATCAATAATCAATAATTTGACAGCAGGGACTGCATGGGTGGGTAGGCGCTGATGTCGCCTCCGTGAGGGGCAACCTCACGGTTTGCAGACCTGGCAGGGCAGGCGCGTGGGGCTGGGGAGCGGAGGTAGGTTTGCCCTTGCCTCTCCCTCCTTGAGGAAGAGCATCACCGGGCCTGGGTACCTGCTGCCCCAGGGGTGGGAGGAGGTGCCCTGGGGCCCCTGGCTCTGGGGAGGGGTGTATGTGGGGGGGCTGTGGCTCCAGCGTTGCCTTCCTCCACCTACAAAATAGGGCACGTGGGGGACCCCTCCTCCTCATTCCCTCCCCAGCAGAGACCCTTGCCTGAAGGCTGTCATGACTGCTGAGACCCAGAACGCTGGCCCTGGGGACTGCGCACACCACTCCTAAGGAAGAGGCTGCCCGTCCTTCTGACTCCACTCCGGTAAAGCCGTCCAAACCAAGATGACTGCCCACATGACAGGACAGCAGACCCCGCACGCACAGACCCCCGGACACATGCTGGGAACACAGCCTCGGGGGCTCACAGAGGACACCCCCTCGCCCCCTGGGCTGATGGTCCCAGATGCCCAGGCAGACACCAGCAGGGCACATGCCAGGCAGAGGGCACAGGGTCAGAAGGGAGGTACACACACCGGCACACGGGTCCACACAGGCAACGCAGACAAGTCAGTGCATTCCGCTTCCTGCAGGGGTTTCAGGCCTCCCTGCCACAGCCCCCTCGCCCCCGGCCCATCCCCCGGCCCGACTAGCAGCTGCCCCCAACCACTCCTGCAGACCAGGGTCACCAGGGAGACTCTGGCCTTGTCTCAGCAACCCCAGGGTGAGGCAGCCGAAGGCAGAGCTGCCACCAGCCGTGGGCTGAAGGATGCGCCGAACTCCCTGCCTGTCTGGCCCCTAGAGCGCTCACTCACCCCATCCCAGCACTCCGGCATCTTGCCGAGGGAGGGAGCCCGCCTCGACCAGGAAGGACAAACAAAGGCCTGAGTCACTCGGGTCCAGAGGGAGGGGGCAGCTCGAGTGGGAGACGGTCGGCTGTGTGACGGGGCACCGCTCCTGGGCCATTTATACGCGGATCGGGCCCAGCCGAGGCCGGCCCCGCCTCCCCGCAGGGCTGCGCAGCCACTCCCCGCCCGCGCCCGCGGATTGGCTGTGGGGCGACAAGCCCGGCTCCAATTGGCTTCCCAGCCCTGCCGCTGCTCCTCCCGCCCAGAGACGCAGCATCCTCGATGGTCCCAGCCCTGCACGCCACCCCCAGCCCCCAGCCCCCAGCCGCACAGCTGCTGCTGCACACGGGGTCCTGGGCCACACACAGGTTCAACCGCGTCGGGGACACAAGGGCCTCTCACAGACATGCACAGCAATGCGGGCAGGGCAGGACGCACGGGCATGGCCCAGACAGGCAACGCCTTTGACCCACATCCTGGGCAGTATTGGAGGGAGGGGGCTGAGAGGGCCCTATGCCCAGCATCCTGGGGGCCAGACCCCCAGGCCCAGCCTCCCCACCTGGAAGGGCTGGATCACTTAACTTTGAGGAGACCGGGAGAGTCACTGCTCTTCGGGGCAATCTGGGTCATCACCCTGCTTTAGGGGATTGCTCCTTCTCCACCCACTAGGGACTTCCTTCCCTATGGCGGCTTCTACTCTGCCCACATGGATGCCCAGGGCTGGCCCAAACTGCTGAAAGTGGGGTTCCGGGGCCAGGGCCCCTGGGCACATGGCAGGACCAGGGGTGTGGTGGGGCATATACTGGCTCTGCCCTCCCAACCCCCACGTCGCTGCAAGGGGCTCCAGGCTTGGCTCCCAGGTCTCTGGGGAGCAGGACACAAGAGCCACCTCAGGCTCCGTGCCCCATCCTCCTGGGCAGCAAGGATCCGGGTGGTGAGCAGGCCTGAGGCACGCAGGTGGAGTGAGCAGAGAAGGGGTGCCACAGGAGAGCAGAGGAGGAGAGGAAATAGGCCGGGCAGGGAGTGGAGGGGGCGGCCCCCTGGGGCCGAGAGAACAGGGGTGGCAGAGGGGAGGGAGGGGTGCTGTCGCCCGTGCCCCCATTCTGTCTTCTTGGTGAAGCAGCACGCCACTCACCCAGCCTGCGCCAACAGCCCAGCACACTGGCCGGCTGCCCTCGGGGAAGGTGGTCAACTCCTGGTCCCTGGATGCCTGGTGACCTGGCCAATGTCTGCCACGTATGCTATTCCTGATCATGTCCTCTGCTTGGGGACACCAACAACTTTCCCTGCCCCATCTCTGACCTCTTGCTTTGGGGCTTAGTGCCAGGCCCCGTGCTCCCCAGGGCAACAGGATGAGGAATGGGGTGTCCCCCAGCCCCTCAGCTCCTGGACATGCTCCCTGCTCCTGTAGCCACTGTGGCCACAGAAGCTCGGAGGCAGCCTGCTAAGGCACAGCCCTGCCCTCTGCTCTGCCCACAAAGTCCTCCCATACCCGCCATGGTCCCCACTCCATCCTACGCCCACTCCAACCTCTGACCTCTGAGTGGCCTCTCACCACCCTTGGACCCAGGTGACAAGCTGACCTGTGACACTGCTCACTCCAAGCCACAGCCCCCTGCTCAGCTCATTGGCTGCAAACCCACAGACCTGGGTTTAAGACCCTCCCGGCCCTCCACTAGCTGGACGACCTCCGGCAAGCTCTCTTAGCCTCTCTGTGCCTCGGCTTCTCAACTGTAACCAAGAATTGTGTGCCTTCCTCAAAGAGTTGCTATGAGAACAAGAAAACACTGCGTAAATCGCTCTAGACACAACCCCACCCCTGACCAGGCCCTGCTGGGGGAGAAATGGGACAATGTGTGTGCCCCTCCAAGGCTGTTGGCCCCTTGCATGAAGGTCCTGCAGTTATTGCGACCGGATAAGGTGGGCTCTGGTCTTACTGGCCAAACCTTGGTGCCAGTCACAGCTCTGCTACTTCCTTGCTATGTGACCTTGGGCAAGTCAGTCAACCTCTCTGAGCCTCCATAGCCAATATGGAGAAACAGCAGAGCCTACTGCACAGGTGGTTGCGAGGATAATACGCATTCTCCTTGTGAACCTATGAGAAAGGATGAGGACACTGAGGCACACAGAGTGAGGTAATTTCCCCACCCAGCTAGTTCGCACTGGAGCTTACTGGCACTTCTGGGCCTGCAGGCTCGTTATCCGGAGTGACAGACACTTATTAAAATGTCTCCCTTGGCCGGGCACGGTGGCTCACGCCTGTAATCCTAGCTCTCTGGGAGGCCGAGGTGGGCGGATTGTTTGAGCTCAGGAGTTCGAGACCAGCCTGAGCAAGAGCGAGACCCCTTCTCTACTAAAAATAGAAAGAAATTAATTGGCCAACTAAAAATATATAGAAAAAATTAGCCGGGCATGGTGGCGCATGCCTGTAGTCCCAGTTACTCGGGAGGCTGAGGCAGGAGGATTGCTTGAGCCCAGGAGTGTGAGGTTGCTGTGAGCTGGGCTGACGCCACGGCACTCTAGCCCAGGCAAAAGAGTAAGACTCTGTCTCAAAAAAAAAAAAAAAAAGTCTCCACATGCCAGGCTCCATTCAAGCACTTTACACGTTACCTCATTTTGTCTTCTTTTTAAATATGTGGATGCTTCACGAATTTGTGTGTCATCTTTACACAGTGGCCATGCTAGTCTCCGTGTCATTCCAATTTTGGTATTTGTGCTGCTGAAGTGAGTGCTCATTTTATCCTCTTCCTATTCGCTTCACGAATGAGGCAGAGAGGTTTGGTAACCTGCCCAACATCACACAGCTAGTGGGCACAGCCAGAAACCACACCTAGGCAGTTTGGCTCCAACTCTGTGCTCTGGTGGCCACTTGTCACAGTCAGCCGGGTGTGTCTGAGTGACAAGCCTGCAGGCACCATCACCTGATAAATGCTCAGGGCAGCCCATGCTGCCTGGCTCACTGGGAAAATGAGGTAGCCAAGTGGAGTGACTTGTGCTGGAGGCCATGTGGCCCGTAAGTGGCAGGGCCAGGACCTAAGCCTTGGTCTGTCTGGCTGTCAGTCCCTCTGCCATGCTACCTGCCCTATGGCTAGGCCCACTGAGGCAAGGGACAGTGACACCCCCTGTCATGGTGAGCAGGGAATAAAATCTGTGCCAGGGCTTAGCCCAGATAATGGCCATCCTGGTGGCTGCTGCTCTTTAAAAAACAAAAACAAAAACAAAAAAAACTGCCTCCATGCGGTGTGACCAGAGTGGACACATAACCTGCCCTTGACCAAGTGAAGGATCTTGAGAACCGGGATCCCACACACCAGGGCGCTGCCCTGGGTGAGGGCCCCACCACTCAGGGGCTGCTGCTCAGAGAGCTCAGTGGGCAGAGAGGCAGAAGCAGTCGGGTACCTCCTCCACGACCCCAGGAGTCCCTTCGACCTCCTCTCACCCGTGGGCGTGCGTGCTGGGGGCTGGCAGCCGGCACCACTGGTCTCGGCCTCTCACGTTGTGGGACCAGAGTGTCAGGGCCTGCGCTGGCTGCTGCAGGATTTTATTTCGCCAGGCCCCTCCTCCAGGGCCCATTTGCACACACATTCCTGCCCGTCGTCCTCGTGAGGAGCATGGAGGACAAAGAGAAGCCCGCAGCAGCGGTGCGTCTGCTCAGATCTCAGGCTGTCCCTTCCGAGCAGCCTGGGGCATCTCGGCCACATCCCTCCCATCCCTTCTGGGCTCACATTCGTTCCCCATTGCCCGAATCCCATCCTGTCCCCCAGCTCCGGAGCCCTTTGTGTCTGGACATGGCACTCCTGGGGGATCTGAGCACGTGCACACTGGCTGACCTGAAGCCTCGCCTCGCCTCGCGTCCTTGGAGTGGCGCATGACCAAGGGACCAGAGCACAGGCTGGATTCTCATTGTAGAGCTGCTGGTACTGGGGGCGGAGCCAGCGGGCAGCCCCACCTCCCACGTCACCCCTTCGTCCAGACCACAAGGCTGGTGCTGTCACAGAGCTTGGAGACTGACCCAAATCAAGGTCAGGCCCAGACAAGGGCAGTGGCCTGGGGGCTAGTTCCATCTAGCCAGGAGGAAGGGTCTGAATTTATCGGCATGTTTTGACTGCCAGTGGGGCCCTGGAACCCAGTGCAACTCCCTGTGTCTGCTGTCAGACATTTTCCCAAGAACTGGAAATAAACGGTCACTACAGGACTCCGAGGGGAGAAGGGGCTGGCCAAGTGAGCAGCATCACCGTGTGGAGGAATGAAAACAAAGGGCACTTTCCGTTTTCACAGAGAATCTGGTATCCACTAAAGAGGATACAGTTGTCCTGGCAACAGCTGCCATGGAAACAGGAACTATTTTGGAGCATCAACCTGGCTTTCATTGGAGGAAAATGCTGATTCAGTTGACAACATCCCTCACTCCCTTCCCCATCCTCACTCTCTTCCCCATTGTCACTCCCCGCAGAACCCCTCTCCCTTTCCTGCTCTCCTGTTCACCCTGGGCAGCTCTCCATCGGGCAGGGGGCAGGCAGAGCCACTGAGAGCCGGGAGGGTGGTCCTAGCGGCCACTCCAGGCTAGGGGCACACAGAAGGGCTGTGACCCTCCTCTGGGACCTGGCTGGGTAGGGTGAGGGGCCGGCCAGCTGTCGGTCCCACATCTCAGGAGGCTGAGCCTTGACATACCTTCCAGTCTGTGTCCACAGCGGAGAGGAAGGCGTCGGAGTTCTCCTACGGGAAGACAAACAGAGGTGGTGGCAAGTTAGGCCCCAGCTGGCCTGAGGGGCCCACAGGGGATCTGCCATGAGCAGACTCGATTTGTTTCCCCATCTGACTTGACGTTAACAAAAGCGACCAAGACCTCACCAAGTGCCAGGGATCTGGCTGTCAAGTACCTGACGGACGTGCCTGTGAGCGTGTTAATTTCAGATGCGAAGAGTTCCATTTTACAGGTGATAAGGGTGAGGCTCAGAGGGGCTCAGTTACAGGCTAGAAAGTGGTGGAATCTCTGACTTGCTGTTGGTAACTTTGCCCTCCTGCCCCTGTAGGCATTTTTCACGGTCTGACCATCAGGGAACAAGGGCAGAGGCAGGGAGGGGTGGGTATGACCGTC